GCGTTGAGCCCACCCGCCCGGGCCAATGGGAGGAGCCGACAGTGACGTAACTAAATTCCTCTTCTGGAGTTGAAGGATTCCTGCAACCAGGAGCTTTGTGAAATGACAACCCTGCTGACCCAGGGAAAGAAAGGAGGGGTCACTGAGAGGTTAAGACTCAGGGTTAGGGACAGAGCCAAAGCGAGAACCCTAGAGACTTGAATCGCGAGGGCACACCCAAAGGCTTAGCCGTGAATCCTTGGAAATTAGAAAACCTCTAAGATTCCAGGACCGGTTTCACCCTTGTCAGGTTTCACTTTCTGCATTTATTCCTGGGTTTTGTTGTTTTTCAGACAGGGCCTTAGGTATCCCAGACCCACGTTTATAAACAAATTGTCTAAACAGTAACTCTAAATGTCTCTTCAGTTTTAACATCCAGTACATTCAAACCAGAAATGCAATCCCAAAGCCTTCACTGCGGGAAATAGCTTCAGGGAGAACTCACAATTGTTATTAAGTGATTTTTTTCTAAAATATTATGATCATTGGAGAAATTAGAGCATAAAGAGTTAACTCTTGCCGGGCAGTGGTGGCACACGCCTTTAATCCCAGCACTGGTCTTGAACTCACAGAGATCTGCCTGCCTCTGCCTGCTGTGTGTTGGAACAAAAGGTATGCACCACCTGCCAAGGCTATGGGGTGGGGGAATCTAAGAGAAAGGGAGGGAAGGAGAGAGTGAGAAAAGGAAAGAAGAAAAAAAAGAAAAGGAAAGAAGAGAGAACATAGTGGTTTGAAAGGAAATGGTCCCCATGGGCCCATAGGGAGTAGCACTATTAGGAGTTATGGTCATATCATCAGCAAACAGTGAGAGTTTGACTTCTTCTTTTCCAATTTGTAACCCCTTAATCTCCCTTTGGTGTCTTATTGCTCTAGCTAGGACCTCAAGAACTGTTGTATGGTCATTTTCATTGAATTTTAGGAAGTCTTTAATTTCTCCCTTTATTTCTTCCTTGACCCATTGATGATTCAGGTGAGTATTGTTTAATTTCCATGAGTTTGTGGGATTTCTGGAATTAGTGTTGCTGTTGAACTCTAGTTTTAAGCCTTGTCATAGGGTTCCTATTGCTATGATAAAACACCATGACCAAAAGCAACTTGAAACAGAGAGGGTTTATTTCACTTTACAGTGTATAAGGCCATCACTGAGGGAAGGCAGGGCAGGAACCTGGAAGTCAGAACTGATGCAGAGCCCATGGAGGAATCCTGCTTACTGACATGCTCATCAAGGTTTACTTAGCTGCTTGCTTTCTATGTTCTTTCTTTTCTTTTTATTTTGGTTGGGCTCAATTCCTAGGACCCACATGGCAGCTCACAATGGTCTGAAACTCTGGCTCTAGGTGATCCAACACCCTCACATAGACATACATGCAAAATATACATATTAATAAAAATGAATAAGTCATTAAAAAATTAAATTGTTCCTGGGCATGATGGAGCACACCTTTGATCCCAGCACTTGGGAGGCAGAGGCAGGGGGATATCTGTGAGTTTGAGGCCAGTCTGGTCTACAGAGTGAGTTTCAGGACAGCTAGAACTACACAGAGAAACCCTGTCTTGAAAAAAACAAAACAAAAAAATTAAATTGTTATGCTTGGTAGTTAACAGAATAACTATACTGGTCACATGACTTGGTTAAATTGCATACCTTTAATTGCAGCACTCAGAAGGTAGAGGCAGTAGGATCTCTGTGATTTCAAGGCCAACCTGGTCTAGAAGGTGTGCTCCAGAACCACCAGGACTGTAACACAGAGAAACCCTGTCTTGAAAGACCAAAAAAGAAAGAAGGAAGAAAAGAAAGAAGGAAGGAAGGTAGAGAGAGAGACTCCTAAACTAACCAAAATAATGATTAAAAACAAGGCTGAGGATATAGCTCATTGGCAGGGATCACCTATTATGTGAAAGGACCCGGGCACCACACAAAAATCACATCTTGTGGATAAGGACAGAAACCAATGATACCCTAAAGTAGTTAAAAGATGAAATATGATTTCTTTTTTAAGATTTACTTTCATTTGCATGTGTTTTGCCTTTATATAGTTCTATACTAAGTGCGTATAATGTCAGTGAAGGCCAGGAGAGGGCACCAGATCCCATGGAACTGGAATTACAGCTGCTTGTAAGCCGCCATGAGGGTGCTAGGAACAGAACGTGGGTCCTCTGCAAGAGCAGACAGTGCTCTTAACCTCTGAGCCATCTCTTTACCCCCTCAACCTGCTTTCCTATTGCCTCCAGGACCACCACCTCAGGACTGAGACCATTTTCTCAAAGTTCCCTCTTCCCAAATGACTCTGGCTTGTGTCAAGTTGTCATAAACCTAGCCAGCACACTGACACCTATAATCCTGTAATCCCAGAATTTGAGAGGAAGAGGCATGAAGATCAGAAGTTCTATATGATGTTTGGCTATATGGCTACACAGCAAATTGGAAGCCAGCTTGGACTACTGTAGTATGGAGGCTGTTTGTTTGTTTTCTGGTCACCCAACTAGAATAATCACACAGAAACTATATTAATTATAGCACTGCTTGGCCAACAGCTTGGGTGTCTTGCTAGCTAGCTCTTACATCTTGAATTAACCCTTTTCTATTAATTTGTGTATCACCACAAGGCTGTGGTTTTACCAGTCAATGTGCTGACATCTGTCTCCTTTGGCAGCTACATGGAAACTCCTTGACTCTGACTACTTTCTTTCTATATCTCTGTTCAGATTTCCCACCTGGCTTTACTTTGCTAAGTCATTGGCCAAAATAGCTTTATTTATCAACCAATAAAAGCAACACATATACAAAAGGACATCCCACATCAGAAAACACAGGACACTGCCTCAAAAACAAGAAACAGGGACTGGAGAGATGGCTCATGAAGAGTGCTTGCTGCTCTTCCAGAGTCCCAAGTTCAGATTCCTGAGCCAATGCCAACCAATGTCACATGGTTCACAATTACCTGTAAATCTAGCTCAAGGGGATCCAATCCAACACCCTCTTCTGACCTCCTTGGGCACCCCTACACACACAGCATACGCTCACACAGACACAAACACACATGAATAAAAATAAATCTTTAGGGGGCTGGAGAGATGGCTCAGTGGTTAAGAGCATTGCCTGCTCTTCCAGAGGTCCTGAGTTCAATTCCCGGCAACCAGATGGTGGCTCACAACCCTCTGTAATGAGGTCTGGTGCCCTCTTCTGGCCTGCAGGAATACACGCAAACAAAATAATGTATACATAATAAAAAATAAATAAACATAAAAAAAATAAATCTTTACACACACACACACAAAGGCAGGGCTGAGGATTTAGCCTACTTGGTAGCGTGGTAACGAAAGCCCTAGGTTCAATCACCAGCACCATCGTAAGTTCAGAACAGTGGTAATATGGCTGTAACCTCAGCACGCTTCAAGGTCATCCTCAGCTACATAGCAAGTGTGAAGTCACCCTAAGCTACAAGATGCCCTGATGGGAAAGAAAGAAGGAAAAGAATATGAAGCATGCTGATGCACCCCACTTCTGTTCAGTAGGTAAAAGTGCTTGTCAGGCAAGCCTGAGCTCCTGAGCTTTTCCCTGGATAACATGGTGGAAGGAAAGGTGACTCTAAAAAGCTGTCCTATGACCATCACATGTGGGTTGTTGCATGCTTGTGCCCATATATATACAATAATGATAAATTTTTTAAAAGGCCTGGACTAACCTGTAGCTCAGTGGTAGAGCACTTGCCTAGCACATATGAGGACGAGAACATAGGTTCCATCCCCAGCACTGTCAAATAAAGAAACAGAATAAAATAAAAATAGCCAGCAGTAGTGGCACTTAATCCTAGCACTCAGGAGGCAGAGGCAGGCAGACTTCTGTGAATTAGAGGCCAGCCTGGTCTACACAGTGAGTTCTGGATCAGCCAGAGTTGCAGAGTAAGACCCTGTCTCAAACACCAAAGATAAAATATTTGAAAATAAACAAACTAAGTATTCTTAGGGCTGACACTTGGGATGAATCAATTCCAGCCATTTGCTATCACCATTTTACTCAGAAAAGGAATCAGATTACAGAAATCAAGTGTGTGACTGGCCTGTCTTGGCTTATAACACATAGCCTGGGTAGTTGGGCATCTCTTGTCCATTTGTTTTGACATCCTGGGTGAACGGCAGGGCATCTTGACTAACACTTCCATAATTACAGTGTTCAGAAAGGGAGCTGGATGTGCTAACACATGCCTGGGATTCCAGGACTAGTGGGTTTGAGGCCACCCGGGATGTGTAGATAAAGGGTTCAAAACAACCCTGAGCCACACAGATAGTGAACTCAAAGATACATTAAGAGGTGGGGTGGAGAATGGCTCAGCAGTTAAAAGCACTGGCTGTTCTTCCAAAGTAACTGGATTTGATTCTTAGCACCCATACGGCAGCTCACAACTGCCCTTAACTCCAGTTCCAGGGGATCCACCACCCACTTCCGACCTCCATGGGCACTTGCACATGGCTCACATATGTGCATACATGCAGGCAAAAGAATTCACACACATACACAAAAAAAAAGAATTCACACATAAAAAATAAATATAATGTAAACATTTTTTAAAAGATAGGCAGTAAACCCTACATAAAAAAAAACAATTACTTTCAAAATAACCTAGCATTTGTTTGAGATAACTCACAGACCTTTTCATATGATCCTCACAGTACCCCCCTGCTCCATAGTATGCATTACTATCCCTGAGAAAAGCCCCTGGTAACTAGGCAGCATTGATAGTAAAAGGAAGAAGAAAAATGGGAAGAAAAAAAACCCCTCTGGGGACTGAAGCGGTTGCTCAGCAGTTTAAGAGCATTAGCTGCTCTTCCAAAGCATCCAGGTTCAATTCCCAGCCTCAATAAAAGTCAGTTACTTCAGTTCCAGGGGTCCATCACTCTTTTCTGTCCTTCTCAGACATTGCACACACACACACGGTGCACAGGCATACAGGCAAAACATTCATAATCACATAAGTTTTTTTAAAAAAAACTTAAGACTTCTGCTTTCAAAATCCACACTAACTTGTATCTGTTAGGAAAAACTTGTTTTGTGTGTTTGTTGTACTACAATGGATTAAACTTACAAACTTGGGCCTATTGGTCCAAACTGACTCTCTCTTCTGCTATGCACAGGTCACATGCTATAACATGTCACATGCTATAACATGTCACAGAACATTTCTTTGACCAGACGTATGTGTGTCTCTTCCCCACTCATACTACGCATACCCACGGGTGTTCCTATAATGCAATTCAGTTATGACATTATCTACATGGTGTTGAAGGAGCTGCGGGCTGCATTCCTGCCACCCAGCTCCCGGCCACCTGGCTAACTTATGCCCCGAAATAACAACACACAAATAGTATTCTTTTAAACACTGCTTGGTCCATTTCTATTAATGTGTGTAACCACGAGGTGCGCTTACCAGGAAGAATCTATCCTACGTCCATCCTGGGTCGGAGCTTCATCGCTTCTGCCCTGGAGAGCAGAAGCATGGCGCCTTACCTCACTTCCTACTCCCAGTATTCTGTTCTGTTTACTCCACCCACCTATGTTCTAACCTATGAGGCCAAGCAGTTTCTTTATTAATTAACCAATGACCTTCCCACATCAACATGGAGTCAGAATCCAGTCTCTGAGATCGAGAACTCAGTTCCATAAACCTGTTCATCCTCACCACAACTCTACCCCCACCTCTCTGCTCCAAATGTCAAACCCAAATCTGGGCATCCATAACTCCTGCCCTATTGCCTCGACATTGGTGGCTCCCATCACCCTCTCCTTAGGTTTGATAAGTCTGAGTTCATAGAACTCAGAGAAGCAGTAGATTTACAAATATCAACTTATTATAAAGGATATTAGGGAGTGGAGCTATGGGGATAGCTCAGTCAGGAAGGTGTTTAATCTCACCACCATGAGGACCTGATCCATGTAAACCTGCTTGGCACGGTGGTGTATGCCTGTAATTCTTGTGCCGAGGAAACAGAAACATGAGGATGACTGGGACTGGGGCTCACTGACCACCAAGTGTAGACTAGTTGGTGATCTCAGGCCATAGGAGACCCTGTAAAAGGAGGGGGTGATGTTACTAAGGAATGACAACTCAAAGTTGCATATGAGTGTACACACATGCATACACATATACATACACACATACATGCACACATACACACATGCACACAAATACACATGCACGTGCACACACAGACACATTGTTAAAAAGGATATAAGGAAGGGTGTAGATAAGCAATAGGAAGCAAGGATGCATAGGCAAGTTCTGGAGGGTCCCAGCATAGGTACTTCTGCACACAACTGTGCTCACCAATCCCAGAGCTCTCCAATACATACTTTTGCAATTAAAGTGAGGCTTAATCATTTAGGTGTAAATATCTGTTAAGTCTATCTCCATATCATCATGACTTCATCTTTTTGGGGTCTGGTGTTTATCTACCAACGGTCACCTCAGTAGAACAAGTGCTCCCCCCCACTCAAGAGAAGCCAAGCTATTCAAGAGCTCTCTGTCTGAAATCTAAAAGTCTCTTTTGGTTTTGTTTTGGTTTTCTAAGATAGGTTACTCTGTGTAGCCCTGGCAGTCCTGGAACCCAACTCTCTAGAACAGGCTAGCCTTGAACTCACAGAGAGCCACCTTCTGCCGCTTGAGTGCTAGGATTAAAGGTATGCACCACCAGCCAAAATCCAACAGTCTTAAGTATTCTGGAGACAGTGAGATGGTTTAGCAGTTAAGGGCACTTACAGAGAAATCAAAGTGGTTCCCAGGACACCCAGTTGATGAACTCCAGTTGAGGAAAATCAGCTCCTTCTTATGATCTGTGTGGGCACCTGCACACACAGTAGCTCACATGTACAGAAATAAAAAGAAAATGCAAAAAGATAAAAAAAAAATTCTGTGGTACATAATAGCTCTTGCCTGGACTTCTATCACTTGGGAGACAGAAGCAGGGGGATGACTCATGAATGCAAAGACAGCCTGGTCTACCTTGTTCTAGGTCAGCCATGACTACATCAAAAGACCTCGTTTCTAAATAAATAAATAAATAAATAAATAAATAAATAAAAATTCTGCGTCAAGAACTGGGGCCAAGGTCAATACCAGTGGTTCCTGGCTTTCACTGATATAACTGACAATTTTTTGGTTCTATGGTGGCATAAAAACAACACCTGTTCACCAGAAACCACACTTAGAGAGAGGTGTAGTGGTACGTTGTTATCCCGGCACTTGGGAGACTGGGGCAGAAGTATATTAAGGTCAAGGCCAGCCTGAGCTACAGAACAAAACTCTGACTCAAACTACCAGAGGGCCTGAAGAGATGGCTCAGTGGTTAACAATACTTGTTGCTCTTGTAGAGGACCTGGGTTCAATTCCCAGCACCTACATGGTGGCTCACAACCTTCTGTGATTCACGGGGTGTACACTTATATAACATAAAATTAATTCTATCCCCTCCCCAAAATTTTTTAACCTCAAAATGAGGAAAAAGGAAGGGGAGGAGGTAGAGATGGGAAAAAGGGAGGAAAGAAAGGAGGGATAATACTTCAAATTTAGGTATTTTGAGGAGCTAGGAATCCTGTGTACAATCCTCTGTTGTTCTGACAATGCAGGGAGACCTACTTCAGTCTATCTATCTGTCAATCATATATATATATATGTGTGTGTGTGTGTATGTATCAATCATGTATATATAAATCTATCATCTATATCTATCTATTGTCTATATCTATCATATCTATCATATCTCTCTCTATCTATCTATCCATGTATCAATCATCTAATTTTTATAAATATATTTATTTGTATATAATACATACATAACAAAACACTATATAATAAAATAGAGGAGTACATGCTCATATAAATATATGTTAATATTACATTTTTAATTCTTTTGTTTATTTAAAACTTATTTATTTATTTGCTTGCATACCAATCCCAGTTCCCCTCCTTCCTCTCCTTCCACTTCCTCCCCTCCCCCATCCCCTCAAACATTATTGATTTTTTTATATGTATGTGGACATGGTCAGAGGATAACTTACGGAAGTCACGTCACTCACCACATAAATTCCAGGGATTGGATTCAGGTCAGGGTTGGCTGCAAGCACTCTTGTCTACTGAGCCATTTCAGCAGCCTTAGCAATGCTCTCAATCACCTCATGAAATAGACAATAGTAGTATCTATAATTTCAGTACAGAAACAGACTCAGTATCATTCGCAGCATTGGATTCGTAAGGAAGAATGGCCTTGCACTTCCGACCCTCCCACCCCCACCTGCCAATCCTAGGGTTACAGGCGTGCGCCACCACACCTGGCCATCACTGGTTTTCTTATCCAAGTTGAACCGTGACTCTCAAACCCCATCGATGACACCCCACTGTGTTCATCTGGAATACCCCTTTGCTACTGGGCAAAGGGTCAGTCGTCTCAGAAGGAGGATGGTTTCAGTGTCTGTGGCTTATGAATTAAAGTGTTAGATTTGCCTGTCTCTGGAAGGTCCTTCTACCTCTAATTTCTCTATGAAAGGCACAGAACTGAGTTCTGTGTTAAACAGAAAAGCGAGAGCAGGCTGCGAATAAGGCTCAGTGCTAAAGAGTTGGCCCAGCACGTCTGAGGACCAAAGTTCAAGCCTTGCCTATTAAACTTTGCACCCCAGATGGCTGTGAGCCTTGTTCATGCATAGGGCACTCTGTATGCCAGGAGGGGGGTGGCGGAGGCTGCACATCTGCCATTGAAATGGTTGGCATAAACAGTAATACTGGAGGGAAGTTTTTTTAAATTATTATTTTTAACAGTAATTATTGTTTTTTAATAGTTTATTTAACTTTATGTGCATTGGTGTGAAAGTGTCAGATCCCCTGAAAACTGGAGTTAAACACAGTTGTGAGCTGCCATGTGGGTGCTAGGAATTGAACCTGGGTCCTCAAGAAGAGCAGCCAATGCTCTTAATCGCTGAGCCATCTCTCCATTCCCACGGAGGGAAGTTGATGAGAAACACAGGGCATCCTTCCAAATAGCCCTCTTCCTGATCTCTTGCCCTCCTTTCTGACTCCGTTTCTTTCTTCCTCAATTTTAAATTTTTTATTTTAATTTGTTGTTGTTGGGTTGTTTTTTTTTTTTTTTTTTTTTTTTTTTTTTTTTTTTGAGACAGGGTTTCTCTGTAACTTTGGAGCCTGTCCTAGAACTAGCTCTTGTAGACCAGGCTGACTTTGAACTCACAGCCTACTGCTTCTGCCTCCTGAGTGCTGGGATTAAAGGCATGCGCCAACACTGCCAAGCTCCTTCCATATATTCTTGAGAAGGAAGGAAAGAGTGGAGGAAATTGAAAGGAAATTTCTGTTCAAGGACAAGAAGATAAACAAAATATGTGATAATTTAAGTCAATATTTTTATCCTTCTGAACAGCCTCTAGTCTATCATCTTCTAGATAATAATAAAACTGAAAACTCAGTTTTCCTCATGATTTTTCATTCTAGAGAACGCATTTTAATTGAATCAGCACACTGTAAGCCTACCAGAGTTCTGATGTAATTTGTATTTACACATCACAAAAATATTCCCATGCCCACCCTAATGACTCAGCTTTAAACTCAAGTCAGGTCTGAGGAGAGGAGATAAAAGGGCAAAAGTCTCCTCCAGCGGAAAACACTTCCCACCCAGATACAACTTGGCTAGTGGTTGCCAGCCAAGGCTGCCTGATGGCAAGCGCTCCTTTGGTGATTGCCAGGCCCCTGAGGACCAGGGACGCCACAGCAGGCGGGAGGATTTCTGTCTAAAGTCTCATCTCCCCCTCCCACTCTCTGACAGGTGGTACGGGACAGGGGCTAGCGAAGGAAGGAGAAGGGAAGGCCCGGTAGGAAGGTCAGCACGTGGTTCCCTGCAGAGAGCAGGGTTTGTACATCCAAGCAGAATACAGCAACTTCATCCTCATACAGCTCTACTGTGAGTGGAGGAGAAGGGAAGGAGCTTTGAGAGAAAGGAAGAAAGGGAGGGAGGTGAGAGAAAGAGAAAGCACATGATTTGAATCACTTGGGCAAAGTACATCTTAACATTCTTTCCCAGAAATACTATAATGTCCCATTGTCTACCCTCATGATTTTCTGAGTTTCATCTTTGTCTCTTCCTGCAGCTCCACTCTCTGTAAACTGGCCCATATAAGTATTCTCTCTCTCTCTCTCTCTCTCTCTCTCTCTCTCTCTCTCTCTCTCTCTCTCTCTCTGTGAGACTTTAGTGTACCTGAGACAGTTTTTTTTTTTCTTTTGTTTTTTTTTCGAGACAAGTTTTCTCTGTAGCTTTGGTGCCTGTGCTGGATCTAGTACTTTTAGACCAGTCTGGGCTATATATGGAGACACTGTCTTGTTGTTGTTGTTGTTGTTTTGTGGGTTTTCTGTTTTTGCTATTTGAAAACAGGGTTTCTCTGTGTAGCCCTGAGTGTCCTGGAACTCTGTAGAGCAGGCTAGCCTCAAACTCACAGAGATCCTCCTGCCTCTACCTCCCGAGTGCTGGGATTAAAGGCGTGCACCATCACTGCCCAGCTGAGGACCCTGTCTTTAAAAAAAAAAAAAGAGAGAGAGAGAGATGGGATGAGCTGGCGAGATGCCTCAGCAGTTAAGAGCGTTGGCTGCTCTTCCAGAGGACCCAAGTTCAATTCCAGCACCCACATGGCAGTTCACAACTCTCGTTCCAGGGGATCAGACATCCTCACACAGACATATATGCATGCAGAACAGCAATGCACATAAATAAATCATTAGAAAATGTTTTTAAAATTTTGGAAAACTATTAGACAATATACTCATCAGCAATAAGACTTGACCTAGTAACCTGAGATAATGATTTCTGCTTGATTTCTGCTTCAATCAAGGTAGTTAGGAGTAATAGGCTCCCGAGAGGTGGTTCACCAGGAAAAGGCACTTGCCGCAAAGTTTGATAGTTTGAGGTTGATCTCTAGGGCCTACACTGGGGAAGGAGGAAATTGTCCCTAATTTGCTCTAACAAGACACTCTTATAGATAAATGTTGATGGAGAATTTATTTGAGGTGTTTTTTTTTTCCCCTTGGGAGTGCGTTCTATTTAGCCCAGGCAAACCTAGATCTAGGTTGGCCAGGACAAAGAGGCATTACGAAGACCCAGAGGGGCACACGACTTAACAGCCTGTGCTAGGACAACGTCTGGCTTTACAATGGGCCATTTTCCAGCACTGATCCCACCACGACAGACAGTGAACTGTGTTCTTAAACCAGTGTTTAAAAAAAATAAAGTTGAGTGGAGCAACTCTGGTTTTTGTCCTGCCTCTGTCATTTATTCACTCGCCCTACGTCGTTGCCTGGCTTCTGCCTGACCTCTCCCTGACCTCCGAGACTCAAATTTCCCATTTGAATGGCAATGATAATTTTTCTCTCTGGGAACTTTTGAAAGGCCCAAACCAGATACTGCTGTTATTGTTTTTTTTGAAAATGCTTTTAAAATGTTTTAAAAGCTTTAAGCCTAAAAATATATATATATATATTTAAGCTGGATGGTGGTGGTGCACGCATGCATTTTTCCCCCAAGAAAGGTTTTCTCTGTGCAACCCTGGCTGTTCTAGAACTCATACACCAGGCTGACTTCAAACTCAGATCTGCCTGCATCTGCCTCCTGAGGGCTGGGACCAAAAGCACACGCCACCACCATCCTGCTTGCTATGCTGTTTGTATCTCATGTGAAAATCCAAGCACACACTGGAACACAGAAACAGGAGGTGCACAAAGTGGCGCACACCTATAATCCCAGCACTCGGGAGGCAGAGGCAGGCAGATCTCTGAGTTCGAGGCCAGCCTGGTCTACAGACACATTAATGCATACTGGCGCACTTCTTTAATCCCAGAGTTTGGGAGACAGAGGAAGGTGGATCTCTGTGAGTTTCAGGCCAGCCTGGTGTACATAGTGAGCTCCAGAACAGCCAGACTACATAGAAAACAGTCTTAAACAAATTAAGCGTTCAGGGTTATAAGAGAGAACGGAATGTGATTTACTCCTTCTCTCCACCGCTCCTTTGCATTTCATAAAAAAATGATAATTAACCCTTTATCCTAGATTCTTACCCAGCAGAAAGAAATTAGACAGAGACAAGCATTGACTACAGAAGGTACCCAGGAGAGCGTGAACAGAAATAGATTGATGGACCATGATTTCACCAGTTCCCTGAGGGCATGCCTGCATTCATAAAGCAAATTGACAGAAGGGAGGTGTGGTGGTTTGAATGAAAACAGCCCCCAATACTCATAGGAAGTAGTGCTACTATTTGGAGGTGTGGCCTTGTTAGAGAAAGTGTGTGGAGAAAGTAGGGGTGGGGGGCGGGCTCTCAAGTCTCAGATGCTCAAACCAGGCCCAGTGACTCACTTTGTTCCTGCTGCCTACTGATACAAATGTTGAACTCACAGCTACCTCTCCAGCACCATCTCTGCCTGCCTGTCACCTTGCTCACCACCATGACAGTGATGGACTAAACCTCTGGACTGTGAGCCAGCCCCAGTTAAGTGTTTCCTTATAGAGTTGCCTTGGCCATGGTGTTTCATCACAGCAATGGGGCAGTGACTATACAGGAGGTGTTCTTTTTTGTTGCATAACATTTTATAAAGGCCTCTGGCCAACTGAATCATCTCTGGTGCCGAGTTCTCAATCAGCCTGTGTCAGAGCAGAAGAAAATAGCGGCCGCACCCATGTAGAGGTCAGAGGACAGCTTTCAGGAGTAGTTGGGACTTGAATTCAAGTCCTTAGTCTTGACTGGAGTACTGGTTAGTTTTGACATCGTTGTCTGGTCAACGTGACACAGACTAGAGTCATTAGGAAAGAAGGAAGTTCTGTTGAGAAAATACCTTCCTCAGAACGACCTGTAAGCCATCCTATGGGACATTTTCTTTTTTTTCTTGACTAAAGATTGAAATGAGTGGGCTTAGGTAATAGCTCAGGTAATACCAGGAGTAATAACAGCTCAGTGGTTAAGAGCACATACTGTTCTTGCTGAGGACCCGAGCTCCATTCCTAACATCCACAACAGGCAGTTTGCAATTGCCTGTAATTCCAGCTCCAGGTAATCTGATACCCTCTTTGACTACTCCTTCCCCAACAGGCACAAATAAGTAACATTTTGTTGTTGTTGCTGCTGCTGTTTTTTGAGACAGGGTTACTCTGTATAGCCTTGACTGTCCTGGAACTCACTCTGTAGAATAGGCGGACCTCAAACTCAGATATCTGTCTGCCTTTGCCCCCCCAAGTGCTGGGCAAAAGGCTTGCAGGCCTGACTCTTCCCTCTCTCTTTTGACACAGGTCCCTAGTAGCCTAGACTGGTTTCAAACTCATCTGTAGCTGAAAATGACCTTGGATTCCTGGTCCTCCTGCCTGTACCTTCCTAGTGCTGGGATTACAGACAATCACCATTACACCAATGATGGAGGAAGGTCATTGGTTAAATAAACTGCCTTGGCCCTGATAGGTAAGAACATAGGTGGGTGGAGTAAACAGAACAAAATGCTGGGAGGAAGAGGAAGTGAGGTCAGAAATCATGCAGCTCCTCTCAGAGTCACACGCAACGAAGCTCCTCCGACCTAGGATGGACGTAGGCTAGAATCATTCCCGGTAAGACTGATGCTACACAGATTATTAGAGATGGGTTGATCGGGATATGAGAATTAGCCTAGAAGAGGCTAGATAGAAATGGGCCAAGCAGTGTTTAAAAGAATACAGTGTCCGTGTAATTATTTCGGGGTATAAGCTAGCAGGCAGCTGGGGTACTGGGGACGCAGCCACGCCGCTCCTATTTCAACACACCAACCTTTTGTTCTTTTCTTTTCTTTTGTTTGTTTTTCGAGACAAGGTTTCTTTGTAGCTTTGGAACCTGTCCTGGAACTAACTCTTGTAGACCAGGCTGGCCTCGAACTCACAGAGATCCACTTGCCTGCACCTTCCTAGAGCTGGGATTATAGACCATCACCATTACACTAACCTTTTGTTTTCTAAAGCCTGGAGTTTCAGCACTTTGAACATTTCTACATCCTCCAAAGAATTCCTTTCCTTCCTATCGCGTTAGTCACAGTCAGGTATTGTCACTTATGATCGGGTCATAATCTTATGATCACAGCTATACCACTTTGGCATGTGGATGAGTTTTGATGTGGGAGTGATTTCTTACTAATAAAGAAAATGCCTAGGCCCATTTGATAGGCCAACCCTTAGGTAGGCTGAGAAAACAGAACAGGATGCTGGGAGAAAAAAGCTAAGTCAGGGGTCGCCATGATTCTCCCACTCCAGACAGATGCAGGTTAAGATCTTTCCTGGTAAGCCACCTCGTGGGCTACACAGATTATTAGAAATGGATTAGATTAATATGTAAGAGCTAGCCAATAAGAGGCTACAGATAACGGGCCAGGCAGTGTTTAAAAGAATACAGTTTCTGTGTAATTATTTTGGGTAAAGCTAGCCATGTGGGCGGCCAGGTGGCAGGAAGCGGCCCGCAGCTCCTAATTACAACAGAGTTTGAACTCAAAACAGGTGAAAATTCACAGATTCAGAAGGAAACCACGCTGGCACTTCCCTGCCTCCCGATTGCTGCAGTTATAGGTGTCTTGCCTCATTATGCAAAAAGTTGCTAATATTACACGTCTTAATACACTACTTTTACTTTTCTCTTTTGAGACAGGGTCTCTCTTTTGTGCCCTGGGCTGGCCTTGAATTTTCTATACAGCAGAGAAGGATCTTGAGACTCTATCTCAAAAAACAAAAACAAACAGGGTCTGGAAAAATGGCTCAGTAGTAAGAAGTACTTGCTACTCTCAGAGGACCCAGGTTTGGTTTACAGAATACACCTGGTAACTCCCAACTGTTCTGTGATGATTTTGCTCTTCTAGCTCTTGAGTCTTTTGGGGGGCCCCACCCAGCTCCCAGATGAATGACTCACATAGGCTTATTCTTTGTTATGAATGCCCTCCTTAGCTTGGCTTGTTTTTGTGTGTTTGTTTGGTTTGGTTTTTGGAGACAGGGTTTCTTTGCTTCACTTTGGAGCCTGTCCTGAAACTAGCTCTTATAGACCAGGCTGGCCTCAAACTCACAAGGCCTGCCTCTGCCTCCCAAGTGCTGGAATTGAAGGCGTGCGCCACCACTGCCCAGCTAAAACTATCTATTTTTTCTATGACTATCTATACTCATTTTCTTTTCATTCTTCAGTATCTAAGCAGATTTTTAAACATACTGTACCTTTTAAGAGTTTTTTTTTTTAATGTCAAAATCTAGTTTTACTGAGTGCCTCCAGTGTTCTCGGACCACGTGAGATAAATTTTAAACTGCCATGTCAGCTGCCACGTGGCTCAGATTAGCATATGGCGCTGGCAAATGGCATTGGTGGCTGGCTCTAAGCCGCAGGCAGCAGCTGGCAGCTGTACCTCTGTACCCTGAGCATCCTCCCCTCTGACAGACCATAGGACTAGAAAGCCACATCGGCTCCTTGTCCAGAACTTTTCTTAGCTTTCCCAGGTCCTATATTTGGATATTGTGCCCCACATTGGGTGCCATTTGTATGTAGCAAGTCTTTCTCTGTGTCACCAGCCAGCTCCCAAATAACACAGAGACTTATTATGAAAGCCAATACCTTAGGCTTGATCCTAACTAGCTCTTATAACTTAAATTAACCCATTTATATTAGTCTACATTTTGCCTCATGATTTTTTACCTCTCTTCCATCTTGTAACTTCCATTTCCTCTCTGTGTTCTCTGGCATCTCTCCAGTGCCAAGAGTCATCTCTTCTTTCTCTGCCCAGAAGTCCCACCTAACCTCTTCCTGCCTAGCTAGTGGCCATTTGGCTCTTTATCAAACCAAACAGAAGGTGTCTTGACAAAGACACATCTTTACAATGTACAGAAAGATTATTCCACAACAGTAAATCTTGTGTTTAGGACAAGGAATTAAAATGTTTTACCTCGCTCACCTTTTAAGACTTTTATACAGTAAGCCTTTATTTATGCAAATGCCCACTGCTGTAATGAGGGCCTGCTTGTTCCCACAGTCCCTGCTTGTCCGGCCCAGTTCCCACAGTCATTAGGTCCCAAAGAATCACACAGAAGTCTACATTAATGATAAGCTGATTGGCCCATTAGCTCAGGCTTCTTATTAGCTCTTATAACTTATATATCCCATTATACTTTTTTTTTTTTTTTTTGGTTTTTTGAGACAGGGTTTCTCTGTGGCTTTGGAGCCTGTCCCGGACCTAGCTCTTGTAGACCAGGCTGGCCTTGAACTCACAGAGATCTGCCTACCTTTGCCTCCTTAGTGCTGGGATTAAAGGCGTGCGCCACCACCGCCTGGCTATATCCCATTATTCTTATCTATGTTAGCCACATGGCTTGATACCTTTTCAGCAGGGCAGGTCACAGCCTGCTTCTTCGGTGTTTGGGCAGGACTGCAGAGGGGGCTTCCTTCTTCCCAGAATACTCCTGTTATCATTGCCTCTACTTCCTGTCTAGTTGTCCCGCCTATACTTCCTGCCTGGTTACTGGCCAATCAGTGTTTATTTAAAACATAATTGACAGAATACAGAATTGTCCCACACCACACTGTTTTATTCTAGGAATCTGAGGGCCTGGAACAGTGACACCTTTCCCCTGCTTCCTTCATCTCCTGTCTGTCAATTCTTTTCATTACCATGGAATAAAATTATGAGGTCTGAAGGTAGCCACTGTGGTAAAGACACAGCCGCTACTTGAGTTAGAATAAAAACCATTTGTATTTACTGTCTCTGCCTAGAGAATTGAGTGCTGGGGTTAAAGGCTGTGCCACCATGCCTGGCTCACATTTTATAGAATTTTTATTTATTCCCTGATAAATCCAAGCCAAAGATAATGACCTTTTTCACCTGGCTCAGAGGGAGACATCTTGGCTTAAAGGGATAGACCTCCTTTGAATAGCACTATTTCTGCCTGTATGCTCAAAAGAAATTTTCTGGGACAGACCTTAGACACCTGAAGTGCTGGATTTTTCCTCTCTTCTTTTTGGAGAAAAGGAACAGAACAATTGTATTTACTTATTTCATTTTATCAATGCGACAGAACTGCTTTTGCACTAAACAAGTTGCTTAGGTTTTGCACACTGAAGACAGGCTGTGACACTAAATGTTTTTGTGTATGTGGACATGGATCTTAGACTCTAAATGCAGGACTTGGAACCTCTGCTGAGTTTGTAGGTTCAAGGGACATTTCTTTGTTTTTTTCTTTATTGTTATTAAATCACATCCTCCCTTCCCATGTTCATTGTACATGTCACCTTTTTAATTTATTTTTCACTCTATTATGTATGGGAATTTCAGTATGTCGGTGCACTATGTGTGTGACACCCAAGCAGGCCAGAACAGAGTGTTAGATCTCCTGGAACTGGAGTTACAGCTGTGAGCTGCCATGTGGGTGCTGGAAATTGAACCTGTGTCCTCTGGAAGAGTAGCAACACTCTGGAATGCTGAGCTGTCTCTCCAGGCCCTCCTGACACCTTCCTTCATTCTACTGCCAGTGCTTTTCACCGTATGTGCAGTTTACAAGGGAAGAAGAAGGATTTTTTTTCTCAGTGGGATATGTAGAACTTGGAATATGTGTATGAAAATATATATAATATGCATGATGCTGACTTAAATCTAATTTTTCTACATCTTAGTTAGGGTTTCTATTGTTGTGAAGAAATACCACAACCATAGAAACGCTTATAAGGAAAACATTTAATTGGGGGGCTGGCTTACAGATTTAGTCCATTATCATCATAGCGGGAAGCTGGAGATGTAGCTGAGAGTTCTCATCCTGATTGGCAGACAGCAGTAAAATAGTGAGACTCTGGGCCTGGCTTGAATATCTAAAGTTCAAAGCCCACCCCCAGTGACATAATTTCTCCAACAAAGCCACACCTACTCATGTAAGACCACACCTCCTAATAGTGCTCTCCTGTGGACCTATGGGTTTCATTTCACTGTCCATCCCTGGTTGTCCTGGAACTAGCACTTGTAGACCAGGCTGGCCTCGAACTCACAGAGATCCGCCTACCTTTGCCTCCTTAGTGCTGGGATTAAAGGTGAGCGCTGCCACCACCGGCCTGCAAGCCTTGGCAGTTAGTTGTAACCAACTAGGTTGGTCCACTCATTCTCGGCAGGCCAATTAAGAAGACAAAGGTGGAGAGAGAGGAAAGAGAGAGAGAGAGAGAGAGAGAGAGAGAGAGAGAGAGAGAGAGAGAGAGAGAGAGAGAGAGAGAGAGAGAGAGAGAGAGAGAGATTGATTTTAGTCAATATGGCCACATCAGAAAGAACAATGACCGCTAGTGGCATTCTCTACTCCGAGTCCATCTCCAGGGTTCTGACAAGTGGTTTAGTTTAGGCTTACATAGACGCCAAGAAGTATGTGTAACTAAGCAGTACTTTGTCGAGGTGTGGTCGCATCCATCATTTCCAGTTTCTCTGGTAAGGTAGTCTGACAAGTTTTCGGAACTGTGAAACATCTTTCCTGGAGTCAAGTTCCTCAGTTGGCCCTAGTCTTTTCCTTCTCCCAGCATGGACTCCCAGGGAAACTGCAATTTCAGTCCAGTGTTTTAACAGTCTGATTGCAAACGAGCATCCATCGGGGTCTCTAGAATACCTTCAATCCAGCCAGGATGGTTTTAGACGCCCAAGATTGGAAGGGCTTCCCACCGGCAGCGAGACAGCTCATACTTACTTCCGCATGCCAGAGGATGAGCTGGCTGAGGTCGGAAATGCCCCGCGAGAAGGCGAGATTCCTTTGGCCACAGCTTGGCCACAGCTAAACCGCCACGGGCAAGAGGCAAGCGGAAGTTCTCCGTGGACACCAATTTTCCTTGCAGCCCTTAAGTCCCACCCCTCTGGTCAAGGCGGCGTCTCCGTGGCGACACGCTGCGATGTGCGGCTGCGCAGGAGTGACGGGGCTCGGACAAGAAGGAGGGGGTGTTTTGGTTCTCGCCGCTCGCCGTCCTTTCCAGACCTGGCTGTCGGAAAGCTGCCTGGTCCTGCTTTGCCTTCCCCTTCCCTTCCCTTTCCTTACCCGGATTTTCCCTCCTTCCCTTTACGTGCCTTTCTTTGATTGCCTGCAGCCCCGGGGCCGGGCCATTTTCCGGGCCGGGCGCACGAAAGCGCGCGGCCCCGGGGCCCAGTATATGACCCGCCGCCCTGCCGCCCCTTGCTTCCTCCGCCCCATGTGGCTGCGGGGCCACGGCGGCGCTGCCCACTATGGCCCGGAAAGCAGTTAGCAGGAAGCGGAAAGCACCTGCCTCGCCTGGAGCCGGGAGCGACGCTCAGGGCCCGCAGGTGAGGGCTTCCAGGCGTGGAAGATGGCCAGAACCCCAACAGAGGCTTAGGGAGTTCCAGCTGGGGACAGAAACCAGGGACCAGGGCGGGACAAGAGCCGGGGTCCGAGACTGTAGAGTCGTGGCCGGTCCTCCTGCAGTTTACTGGCGTGCAGGCGGGCCGGAAGGGTGAAGAGCCAAAAGGAAACTCCAAAATGACGCCTTCCGCTGGAAGTCTGCAGCCAGGGATATAGCTGGAGGAGAAGCCAGGACCTCCTTGGCTTCTCAGGAAACTGAGTTCAAGGGGAATCTGGGAAGGAGAGCGAAGTCAGCCTTTCAGTGGCACCGTGAATGGATGTGGGCCGATTGTCTCTTATCAAGGAAACAATGTCTGAATGTGGGCCGATTGTCTCTTAACAAGGAAACAATGTTCCAAGCTGGATGCTGGTCCTTTTGGCTATTTAGACACCTAAAAGAGACACTAGGTGTCGCCTCTATACTGCCCCCTTTGGAGAGCAGGGCCCCTCGGACTTGGGATTCCGACGCTGGTCCCTCTTCCTGTTCACCCCGTTGGTATTTGATTTTTCGAATTCTAAAACTGCCCTCAGCGCAGGTCGCGCGGTGTCCGATGAGCGGCCATTGACTTACAGCCCTGGAATATCCGGGATCCCACTCTGGCTCTTTGAATACCCTTTATGCTCTTCGGGGAGCACAGGCGGAGAGGGAGAAGGGGGCTGGGTAGAAATGCAGCCCAGGTGGGTTCGGTACTCTGGGGCTCCTTTCCTTCCCAGACAGGGACACCTGCGTATATAGGGTTTCTGAGTTCTCCACTTTCCTCAAAGGCCTGGTAATCCTTTCATCCTGTCTACCCACTTCCTAAGTGGGCTTCACTGTGAGAACTTTATTTCAATGCAAGATGAGTTAGGATGTATTTTCTGGGTTGTGAATCTTCCGTGACGTTTTTGACTGTGTGAATCTTGAAGGACGAACTCTTGGTGGTGGTTCTCCAATACAGTGGGATTTCTTCCCTTCGAGGAAAGGGACCAAAGCTCTGATTTCTGGTGTTGATTTCCACAGTTTGGCTGGGATCACTCACTACACAAACGGAAAAGACTCCCCCCAGTGAAGAGATCCTTAGTGTACTACCTGAAGAACCGGGAGGTCAGGCTGCAGAATGAAACCAACTATTCTCGGCTGTTACATGGTTACGCGGCACAACAGCTTCCCGGTCTCCTGAAGGAGAGAGAATTTCACCTTGGGACCCTTAATAAAGTGTTTGCTTCTCAGTGGTTGAATCATAGGCAAGTGGTGTGTGGCACAAAATGCAACACGGTAAGTGTCAGGAGCGCTCTGTTCTCCTGGGTCCGAGACGCAGGGCTTCACCCGCTCGAGGGCCTTCTCGTGCATCTGCCCCTTTTGCATTTACGTCTTTTATATGAGCAGAATTGGAATTTATTAAGAGATTTTCAGTAGAACTGTTAGGGCAGAGAGGTGCTCAAGGAAAGAACAAACCCAAGTGTGGGTCTGGGCTCTTCAGGGAGAGGTGGCCCCATCTGTTTCTTTTAGAAAGTCATTGTCTCGCTCTCCGTTCCTTTCCGCTAATGGCCTCGTCCCCTTTTTCTCCTCCTCTCACTTCTGCATCTTTGGATGGTGTCACATGAACATGTGTCTTTAGGCCCCTGGATCTGTGTGTGTCACTGCTTCTAGTGTTTTAGCCTCATCTTTTAAGTAGGAGACCTCAAAGAAAAGATAGAAATTGATGCCCAGAGCATGTTTAGGATACATGCATGGTAGTGACCGCTTAATGGCCGTGTACCAGCCTTTGACACACGGAGGAGTGTTTAGAACTTGGCTGAAAGTAGAAATAAGGCAACGATGCTTTTTCATGTAGTAGAATCCAAACGTAGCACTTGGAGGACTAGGCAGTAGACGAGCTTAAGTTCCAGGCAGGTCTGTATACTGCGATCCTGTCTCGGAAGAAACAGAAAGGAAAGATCTGAAGAGTTTCCTGTAAGACAGACAAGATGTGCTGGGTGGCGGCGGTGGCGGTGCAGACTTTTAGGCAGAGGCGGGTGGATCTCTGAGTTCAAGCAGCTTGGTCTACAAAGAAAATTCCAGGACAGCTGCACAGAGAAACTCTTTCTCAAAAAACAAAAGAAAAAAGACAAGAAATGGGTGTGCCTGATGGTATATTTTAGGGTATGAGCATTTGTGAAGAAGAGAGGAAAATTAAATATATGAGGGTAGGGTGCAGTTTGAAAGAGTAACAGTTATAATGATTGGAGGGGAAGTGTTAACCTGTAAGCCATATAACCGCGTGGTTACAGGAAGAATAAAGTCCACAGTGGATGTAGCGCTTGCTTGAGCAATGTGTACTAAAACTGGGACACTGCAGAGATGGGCATGGCCCTGCACAAGGTTGGCAGGCGAATCTGGCGCGTTTGTGGCGATTTGAATAAAGGGTACAAATGGCAAGACCGTACAGAAATGGTCGGTGCCAGAAGAGACAGCTGGTGGTGGGTAAAGTCTTCCGTCTCTCCTAGTGTGGCTGGACGAGTGATGTTATAATGGTGAGCAAAGTGACTCTAAACCAAAACATCTGGGGTGACTTAAAAGAGAGGTTACTCTCTAAGTTTGAGGTCAGCCTTGGTCTACAGAACAAGTTCCAGGACAGGCTCCAAAGCTACTCAGAGAAACCCTGTCTCGAAAAACAAAAACAAAACAAAAAAAGAAAAAAAGAGAGAGAGATTTGTCTATATCAAGAAAACCTTGAGCCAGTGAGAGTGTTCAATGGAAAGATGCTTACTGTCCAAGCCTGGCAACCTGAGTTTGATCCCTGGAACTCACAGGAAAGGTGGAAGACGAGACCGGTTTCCATAAAGTTGGTTTTTCTGACTGCCACATGCCTACCATGGCACACTTTCTGAGATACAACCACACTCAACCACACAAACACTAATAAGAATAATTAAAAAAAAAAATCTTGGTTACTCAGTGGGCAAAAGCTATCAAGCCTGCCAACCTGAGTTTGACCCTTAAAACCCATGTGATGGGGCTGGGAAGATGGCTCAGGGCTTAGGAACACTCTTGTGACGGCTCTTCCAGAGGACTTGGGTTCAATTCCCAGCACCGACATGGCAGCTCACACCTGTCTGCAACTCTGGTTTCAGGGGACCTGACACCCATGGCAAAAACACCAGTGCACATAGAATTAAGGACTCGTGATGGAAAGAGAACAAACTACCAAAGACTGAACTGCAGTGCTTGGTGTGGCTGTGTACCCACCGCCAAACATAGAAAAAAAAAAAACCTGCCAAATACCTTAAGTATTAGAAGTGTCTTTATAAAGACCATAGGCAAAATTTCACCAGTTTTGAGGAAGGAAATAATACTATGGTGGTTGGGGCTAAATTTTCACTTCTTCTGTTCAAGGTTGTTTGTCTTACACATAACACTTTCAAAACTCTGTGCTGGTAGGAAGCCTGCACAAACTTCCTTTTTCTGATTTCATTTGTACCCTAGTGGCTTAGGAAACTGGCATTGCTGACACTTGGAGCAGAACAAGTGTCTCCTGCTTCTTTAACCTATTGATGGTATTTTGAAGGTGAGCATATCAACTAATAATTGAGTTTATTTAAGACTAGAAAGATGGAAGCCAGGTGGTGGTGGCACACACCTTTAATCCCAACACTTGGGAGGCAGAGAAAGGTCGATCTTTGTGAGTTCGAAGCCAGCCTGGTCTACAGAGCTTCCAGGACAGGCTTCAAAGCTACAGAGAAACCCTGTCTCAAAAAACCAAAAAAAAAAAAAAGAAAAGAAAAATAAAGAAAGCTGGCTCAGCCTAAGTTTGATTCCAGCCCCACATGGCTGACACACATCTATAACTCAGATCCAGGAGATCCGATGCTCCTTCTGCTTTCTGCAGGCACCAAGCATATGTGTGTTGTTTAGACGTACATGTAGACCAAACGTCCATACATAACAAAGTTTTGTTGTTTTTTTTTTAATTTACTCTTAATACCTACTTCTGCTTTTCTAACTTAAAAAATGTAGTTTAGCCAGGCTGTGGTAGCCAGCACTCAGGAGGCAGAGGCAGGCAGATAGATTTGTGTGAGTTCAAAACCAGCCTGGTCTATAGTTATAGGACAGCCAGAGTTACACAAAGAAATCCTGTCTCGAAAAACTGAAAACAAAACAAAAAGCCCATTTTCATTTTTTTAAGATTTCACGTGTTGATGAGTACTGCATTGGCCACACTGGGCATGTGGGGGTCACCGTTTACAGGTGCTGATTCCCGCCTTCCACCACGTGGGCTCTGGGGTTGGAACTCAGGTCCCCAGCCTGTTGAGCTCCGTACCCTCCTAACTTCATCTCTCCTCCGCTCATTCTCTTCCTGGGACTTGGTGGAGACCAGGCTAGCTTTGACCTCACAGAGATCCTCTTGCTTCTGCCTCCCCAGTCCTAGGGTCACAGTAGTGTTTGATCACTCCTGACCCCTAACTTAGACTTAATAACTGTTTCTGCCTTCCTATATCTTCATGACTTAAAATGCTTGGAGGTAGAGGAGGCTGTCTTATTTTGTTGTGTTTTGAGACAGGGTTTCATGTAGTCCAGGTTGGCATCTGTTTTACTATATAGCAAAGAATGACCTTAAAGTACCAGTCCCTGTGTGGTGGTTGCTGAGGTTATAGACAGGTACTCTTAACTCTGCCTGTGGGTATGTATGAGCGATGGTACTTGAGGAGGCCGAAAGTGGGTATTGGATCCCCTGGAACTGTACTTAGAGACACTTGATAGCTATCATGGGAATCAAACCTGGGTCCTGTGGAAGAGCAGCCAGTGCTCCAGAATCAGCTGGTTTTCCTTTTTTGTTTGTTTTAGAGGGTGGAGGACAGGGTTTCTTCGAAGCCCTGGGTATCCTGAAACTTTGTAGACCAGGCTGGACTCCAGCTCAGAGATCTGCTGCCTCTGGCTCCTGAGTACTAGGATTAAAGGCATGTGCCACCATGTCAAGCTCTGGTTTTTGATATTTTTTTTGTTTTTGTTTTAAATGGTGTTATTTTTCTGTTTGCTCAGATTCTAGAACCAAAGTAGGAAACCAAGGAGGAAATGTGTTGTTGTTTGGCAAATACTTCTTACTTTTGCCTTTGTTATTTAGTTCTGTTGCAACCCGATCTTATGCAGCCAGAGCCTGCCTTGAACTCATGAGCCTCTTGCCTCTACCTCCCAGCTGCTCTTGGGCTCCTTTCTGTAAAGCAGCTTTGCATTATCTGATCTGCCGGTCCCCTGGAAACTAGCTGGCTTAGGCCCTAGCACTTGAGGCTGAGATATGTGTGTCTCCTGAGTACATTATCTGGTGTGCCAGTTCAAAGTTGAAAACTATCTGGGAGGCTGAGGCAGGTGAATCTCTTGAGTTCCGGGTCAGCCCAGGCTGCGTAGTGTGACCCTGTTTCAAAGATAAAACTCTGATATGTGAGGAAGGTTTCATTTCCGGTGTGACAGGCTTCAGCAATCTAAAGAGAGTTGGTATGGGCTCGATTGTGGAAACCTGGCCATTTTACTTTATAGGGGTTTGAGAGACATGGGGATGATATGGTTAGGGGCCTGCTCCAGGGAGAGACCCTGGATTTTACTGTGAGTGAATGGACTAAGTCCAAATGATGGACGGAGCAGGTAGAGAGAGATGGCATTGGCTCAGGTAGAATCCCATAGTTGGCGTTTGGGAGAAGGTCAGTCTGTATTGGGAGTTAGTAGTTTATAAGAGTTTTTTTTTTTAATTTTTTAATTTTATTTTTGGCCTATGAGAGCTAGTTTCAGGACAGGCTCCAAAGCTACAAAGAAACCTTGTCTTGAAAAGCCTAAAAAAAAAAAAAAGAAGAAGAAGAGAAGCTACATAGTAACCTTTGGAGGAACACGTGATTGACAAGGCCAGAACTGCTGCAGAGAGAACAGGGAGCCTGGAGGGAAACAAGAAAGAGCACAGAGTCAGGAAGTTTTCCCTGGCCAGATATTATTCAGCTCCCCCATACATACTTTTTCCCTGTTGTGAGTATGTGTGTTTTGTTGTTTTCGAGGCTGGATTTCATTGTGTAGCCATGGATAGGTCTTGGAACTTGCTGGGCAGATCATACTGGTCTTGAACTCAGAGATCTGCCAGCCTCTGCCTCTTGAGTGCTGAAATTGAAGATGTGTGCAACAGGACGGATTTATTAGCCGATGTGGTGGTGCCAGCCCGTAATCCCCTCTTCTCAAGTGACTAAATGAGGGAAGAAGATCAAAGTTCTTGGCCAGCGGCATTAAAGACATGGCTCAGTGGATAAAAGCACTTGCCT